TTGGTCACATGACGCCTCTCGCATCAGATGTGAAATCTCCACATTATTTCTTACCCCATCATGGTGTGATTAATGATAATAGTTCCACAACCAAATTAAGGGTGGTGTTTGACGGCTCATTCAAAAGTACAAATGGAAATTCTTTGAATGACATTCTGCTGACTGGTAAAAAACTACAGTCAGACATTTTTCTAACTTTACTTAAATTCAGATTCTTCCCAATTGCTTTTTCTGCTGACATTGCAAAAATGTATAGACAGATATTAATATCACAAGATGATGTATGCTTTCAACAAATATTTTGGAGGAAGTCTCCAGAGGAACCATTAGGGATTTTCAAATTAAATACAGTTACCTATGGTACATCTTGTGCCCCATTTCTTGCCATCCGAACTTTGAAACAATTATGTGAGGATGAAAAACATCGTTTTCCACAGGCAGCTAAGCTTGCAAAAGATCATTTCTATGTTGACGATTTGTTAGCCGGTGCTGACTCATTGGACTCGGCTAGGAAAATTGTTCACGAACTGCAAAATTTAATGTCAGCCGGTGGATTTGAGCTGCGAAAATGGTCATGCACTCATCCAGAGGTTTTGTCAGACTTACCAAACAGTCTAAAGACAAATATTTCCTCACATTCATTTGATGATGAGTCCACCCAGAAAATTCTTGGCTTATTCTGGGATCTAAACGAGGATTCCTTTAGAGTAAGAGCAGTCTTACCCGACCAGGTATCCACAAAGAGACAGATGCTATCAATCATCGCACGCATCTTTGATCCTTTGGGGTTTGTCTCTCCCTCAACTATAATTTTAAAGATTATTCTTCAAGACCTGTGGAAGGCAGGGCTTGACTGGGATGATGAGATATCATCAGACATTCTTAATCGATGGAATCGGTTTCAAGCAGAAATTTCATGCCTCAAACAAATAAAAATTCCCAGATATGTTCAAACACTAAATGCTAAACACTGTGAAATTCATGGGTTTTGTGACGCCTCCTCAAAGGCATATTCAGCCGTAATATACTTACGTGTTGTTTCTGATTCGCCACACTTATTCTTAATGGTTTCAAAAACTCGTGTGGCACCTGTAAAAACAATATCATTACCTAAGTTAGAGCTTTGTGGTGCTCTGCTTCTGGCTGAACTTCTAGATACATTTAAGCGATCTCTTAGCATCACTCACGATACTTATTTATGGTGTGACTCAACAATTACACTGAGTTGGATAAATAATCCACCTGTAAAAGGAAATCAATTTGTGCAACACAGGGTTGGGAAAATTCATACACTAACCTCAAAAGAATCTTGGCATCACATTCCGGGAAAATTAAACCCGGCAGATTGGGCAACAAGAGGCCTCTACCCGAAACAACTTCTTGAAAATTCAGAGTGGGTAACTGGTCCAAAATGGCTTCATGATTTCCATCCTTCTTCCAATTCATTTCTTCCTTTCTCTGAACAGCCTGTTCCACTTGTTCCTATTGATCAGTCTGAATCATTAAGTGACTCTATTGTTCTTTCAACTGGTGTTGATAATTCTCTTAGTTTCTTGGATAAGTTTTCCTCGTACATGAAGTAATTAGGACTGTTGCATGGATATTCAGATTCTACCATAATTCCAAATCAGTGTCCAAAGTTACTGGGCCTTTATATACACATGAGTTAGAAACCTCAATCAAAAAGGTAGTCAAATTGTTACAAAATGGAGAATACCATACAGAACTTAATCTCTTGAAATGTAACAAGCCTCTTCCCAAATCTAGCAACCTTCAGTCTTTGAATGTATTCCTTGACTCTGAGGGAATTCTTCGTGTCGGAGGACGTCTTCGTCTCCAACAAACTCTTAAATTTGAACAAAAGCATCCTATGCTCATACCAAAAAATAATCACTTTACAAGTCTAATCATTAGACATTTTCATAGGGTCAATTTCCATGCTGGGCAGGAACTAGTCTTATCCCTCATTCGTCAGCAGTTTTGGATACCTAATGGTAAATCAGCTGTCAGAAAAGAACTACACAACTGCGTAGACTGTTTTAAGCTTGTAGCGAAGCCAGTCTCTCAAATGATGGGTGATCTACCCATCGAACGAATCACCCCTTGTCGTGCTTTTGAAAAAGTAGGCATTGACTTTGCTGGACCTATCACGACAAAGTGCCAACATACTCGCAAGGCCAGCAACTTCAAATCGTACATCTGCCTCTTCATCTGCATGTGTACTAAAGCAGTGCACCTTGAACTCGTATCTTCGCTATCAGCAGCAGCATTTTTGTCAGCACTGCGTCGATTTGTGTCACGCCGTGGCTATCCATCAGACATTTATTCTGACAACGGTACAAATTTCGTTGGTGCTTCAGCTTACTTGAAGGACTTGTTTAAATTACTTCACAACTCTAATGTCCAGGACTATTCGTCAAGCAAAAACATTCAGTGGCACTTCATTCCTCCATATGCACCAAATTTCGGAGGTGTGTGGGAAGCCTCAGTCAAACTCACAAAGCATCATTTGCTCAAAACCTTAAAAGCGGCTGTGCTGAACTTTGAAGAGTTAGCTACAATCCTGTGCCAAATCGAGGCGTGCATAAATTCACGTCCTCTTTATCCGCTATCATCAGACCCTAAGGATCTCCAGGTGTTAACACCCGGACACTTTCTTATCGGGTGTCCCTTGCTTGAACTCCCTGATCACAGTCTAACTAACCAATCCTTGAGTCTTCATTCTAGGTGGTCTCTTCTGATGAAGTTGAAAAAGATGTTCTGGTCTCGCTGGCAGCTCTCCTACCTCAACACCTTGCAGTCCCGAACCAAATGGATGCAGGGCCAGAAAGACTTCACGGTAGGATCCCTCGTCCTACTCAAGAATCCAGCCTCTTTCAGCACCAGGTGGACTCCCGGAAGGATTGTGGCCACACATCCTGGATCTGACGGAATATGCCGTGTCGTCACTATACAGACTTCACGTGGAGTCATGACAAGACCAGTCTCTCAAGTTGCAGTCTTGCCCCTACCACCATCGACTACATCTTCCCGCCCCCCGGAGGATGTTAAGAATAGTTGACTCCTTTCGCCGTCCAGAGATGGCGCCACGAACTGGACTTGGTTTGCTAGTATCCGGAGTGATTTCGGGGGAAAACGACATTCCATTCGGATGATTCGGTTGTACTGGTCGCCATTCTTGCGATTATGTTTTAGTGTAATGTTTTTCTTTTATCCTACATGTAAAGGCATGAGTGTGTGTGTGAAGTAAATATATACTTGAAAAGTCGACTTGTGAAATCATTGAAGTGAATGATTAATACTCTTCAGCTATATATTTTTCATTCCGCTGTCCAAATACTTCCACAGTGTTCCTACGCCTAGCATGGAAAATGGCGGTAAGTCAAAATCCGTTCGTTATACAATTCATAATTGCATTCTACATCAAACTCAAAATCTAAAGTCTCATTCTCATTCATAACATATATATATATATATATTTATTCATCTATTTATAATTTGCTTATACACTGTCTCCGAAAGTTAAGTGTATAATATGAAGTGTAAAAATGTGAAAGTGTTTAAAAATACTAAAGGGAAGCCGAAAAGATAGATATTCCGTCTATCGCATATATGAGCTAATATGAGATATTAGTGTTAACCAATGATTGGATACATGCTTTTTTTGTTAGTGGTGTAATAGAACAATGAGAAGGATTATACGAAACTTTAAATAAATGGATATGATAGTTACTTGTGTAAACAACGAGGTCGTGCGTGTATATTTTAACTGTTTCGAAAGTAATGGTAACGGATCAAAGAATATAAATTGACTTATTTTTAAAATCCACAATCACTGGAATATTAAAAAATGAACGATATGAGCGTTTAGTTATATAAATGTCGCTCAGGACATACTTTTTAATTTGTAGAAATTGCGACAAAACACTTTCGAACCATTAACAGACAAGGCGTAAGGTCAGCCAAAAGTAAAAAGAACTATACAAGAAGTTCGGTATTTGGTGTAATCACGAGAGCAATACGTTTTTAGTTATAAAAACTCATAAAAGTGTAGACTTCTAACTATTTGTGTACCATGAATTTGTTTGTGAGGAAAAATGTCCATTTCTAATGGAGACAAGAATTTTGAAATGTAAATAGAAGACAGACAATGGAGTGATATGATGTTCTCCTATAAATAATGATTAAAATTAGAGACCGATTACCATTCGCAGAGTTATTTTTAGGAAACATGGGGGGGGAGTACATAAGAACCTTCAGTATCTCCAGAACGAGATCAGTAACTTTACGATAGTGTTTGGGTGTGAGCTGGCATGATTGTTGTTGGAACAGGGTACAGTTAGAAGATTCTGGAACTTCATATTAGTCTTCGATGCTACGCATCCACAGTTTGTGGACTACAACGAGACGCTTCACAATGCTAAACTAGCTGATATCTTCTAAAGTGAAGATATCCGGTGCATGCAGTGATCATTCACATTTCCAAACAAATCTTATTGAATATGTTTGGGATGTTCTCGTGCCAGAACGAAAGGATCCATTTAGTTAGTCTATATCATGGAACGTCACTGAGCTCAACACCATTCTAATGTAGAAATGGCAGAATCTGTCACCTCAATTAATATAGATTCTCTTTCGTTCATGGGACATAGCTATGATATTTGTATTGAAGCCAGAAGTTATCATTCTCTTTACAAACCAACTTTAGTTCTTTGTTTTCTATTCTTCCAGCGCAGGTGACTTTCATTCTTATTTTCACACCACACATTTTGTGTCCTTTTTAAATAAAAGCCATACATTTATTTTTATTCTTTCTTCTATTGTTCATTTCATTCAAAGCAGCTTTCAAACTAGGTACCTACACAAAATTTCATTCCACATTTTATCTTTTATTGCGCACCCGACATAAAGAAATTACCATTATTCTTTACCTTTGCACACATCAGTGTACTATATAGTCAAAAGACGTGTGAGCGATTTCCATTTGAAGTCGCTCGCATTGGCATAAAACGTGGGACCCCAACCCACGACCCCGAGATTTAGTCTCTTGCTCTTCCTACTGAGCTAGCCGGGCTGGGGTCATGGGTTCGGGCCTCACGTTGAGCACCATTGTGAGCGACTTCCCGTTGATGTAGCTCTCTCACCGTCCTACCTACCTAAGGATGTGGGGGGAAACAAAGCATGACCAGAAATTTCCATAATAATTATTAATTTTATTATTATTCAAGCACACCAATCAACCACAAGTTAAACTACAAAAGGATGCCTTAGGAGTAATATAAAGAAGCAATCAACCATAAGTGAACAAGCGCAAGTAATCAGTTTAATTTAACCTAATCTATCTTAGACTATAAATTCCCAATCCACTAATTTAGTATAGTGGTAAACTCCGTTCTTAACTCTAGTTGTGAAAAACAATTATTTGTCCCCTTCGTAAGTCCACAGCAGTTTCTCCGCTTCTTCTATCTTACAATTACAAAACCTTCATTTTATATAGTCAAACTAATTTCCATATCAGGGTTTCTTCTTGAGGGATGGCAGTGAATAAAAGTGAATGCTAGCCCAAAGTTTCCCCAAGAGGATTAGTGAGAAGGTCGCGTACAGATCCGTCTCAGACGCTTTGGATTTTAGATAATTTGACAACATTTTGGAGAAGTACTTGATAAATGTTTCTTAACTGTGGCCGTGTAATTGGGCAATTTGGGTCTTACCTCCAGAATAGCGCCCAACCGCCCATTGTACGCATTATCCAACGTGATATGGAAAGCGTACAGTGATCCGCATTCTCTCCTGATTTCTCATTAATTGAACACCCCTGGGATATTATTGCATACCGTTTGTATGCCCTTACACCCCCGAATTCATAAAATGATCAGTTTACTAATGGTTTAATGAAAATGGAGAGCCATCTCTCTGTATCTACACCCGTAATCCCATTGGTTCTGTGTCTAGATATGTTGCTTCGTGTATCACCACCTATGGAGGCCTTGAAACCTATTGAGCTAAAATTGTGCTCCTTCTGTGTTACGAGAACCATTTTGTATTTCTTGCTGTATCTTGTCAAGGGTCTATTCGTATTTTTCTCACTAACAATCCCTTTGGGAAAAAATGGGTTTATAAAATTTTTAATTTATTGAAAGCCTACATTAGAAGAAGAAGATGTGAGTATGTAAATTAAGACTTGTATATAAAGATTAAACTTTTGAGTTTGAAAGAGAGAGGTTAGATTACTACGGCTATAGCTGTGATTGATTAAATGTGAAGTGAGGCGTGGATACTTTGTAGCTGATTATTGTAATATTAAAATTGACGATTTGTCAATTAGGAATCAAGTTAGATTAGATCACTAAGAATTAGAAGATATTGCTTAGACGTCAGGGATCTGTTTATTTAAAGTCTTATCTAGGCTGCCTCGCTATTGTTTTCCATATTTGCTATTTGGGTGCATGTCTTAACTTTGGGTAGTAAAATTTGTCTTGTTGCTCGTATCAGAGAATAAATTGAAGTTTTATTGACTATGGCTAATCTTCCTTCTGACCCTCTCACACTAATGGATGGGATAACTCATCCCTCACAATCTAGTTGTCTAGTTTCTTCACTTCCTGGCCCCTACTTCTTAGGGAAGCATTTTCAAAGTTACATGGTGTATATTTAAAACTTATACTTGTCCAATAACTAACAATAATCTTATTTATCCTTTTTATTTGCAAAAAAATTGATAGAATTTGAAAACAACCTACATTTTTCAAAATATTTTACAATTTTAAAATCTGCAATTTTAAAACGCCACGACCGTAAGACTATTTATATTAAATACTTTCGGATTTGAACCTCGAGGCCTCCCCACCTAGTACGGTGGTTGTGACACTCGGCTTGTAATCGAGTGGGCTCGGGTTCGAATCCCGAATAAAGCATGGATATATATTCGGGAAAAGAAGTCGGACTTTCGCCTGAAATGGATTACCGTCTCGAATGGAAAGTAGCGCACCCCTTCTGTTCTATGCTGGGATCATCGTTTGTAATAAGAGTCTATATTCTTATTTGTTTGTATAGTAGGTTTTTATGTTCATCTGTCTTTCGTATGTATCCCAGTATGAAACATACAACACTAACCTCGAACAAATATAGTTACAATTGAGTCGTCAATCACACATATAAAGCACAAAAATAGTATTAATGTCAAAATTCTTACACGTAAAAATTCAAAGTAACCACCTGCATAACTAAATTAATTTTAAATTTCCTTTTAAGAACAATTACAATGGTTTAAAATAAAAGCGAGCACCACTTCAATAAATTGTGTCACTTTGTTCTTTTAAATATTCTACATTTACTATGAATATGAAAGCGTTTTCATCGTAAAATTACTTTAATAAGTTAGAGGACTGCGTTCCACTGGGAATACTATTCAACTAAATCTTTGATAAGCGGGCTTGCCGATTTGAATGCATTGGCTTTGAACCTTTTATTCTTTCAACATGGCACGATCAATTTCAGCAAATGGGAAATGCAATAATTAATAACCCGAGAATTCAAAATGTAAAATGGATTTTCATTTATCCTGTGGTGAATAGAGGGTGATGTAAATATGCAAATGCCACCTGCTGCGCTTACACCAAGCAAACAATGGCGCTGATGCAAATTCAAACAGTTTCTGAAAGCCGAACAGAGGATTTGGGATTTCGAATGGAACGGAGCACAAAAGGCGGGAAACTCGTTCGTTATTTTTTTTCGAACGTATGAATGTAGAATTGAAATTAAGTGCAACAAGAATTAATTTTTCTTAAAAAAAAAAGACAAAAGGTAAGAAAAACGTTTTCGTTTTGTCTGGGGGTTATTCTTTTTCGGTAACAATAGGACATGGAAACTGTAATATTAATTTTTAAAAAAAAATTTATCTTTGAACTATTTGAGTTTGAAAATGAGGGATTATGTGTTGTCAAATTTAAACGCTGAGAATACTAAGAACAAGACTGAGAATTCTTTGGAACAATAAAAATGTGGAATTTATTTTTCTATTATAAGATTAGAGATAACGTTTGTGAATAAATCCCATGAATAATAAAATAGAAATTGAATAAAAACTTAATAAGGAGTCTTCGAAATAATTTATTTAATTTTTCAATGAATTCGCTATTTAATAATTTCATTAGAATATCAATCGTTTTTATGTTAAATTTTAGTTTATGAAATTAAAGCAATTTTTTAGAAAATAATAATTTTATTTATATAGCATATTTTTTTAGAAAAACATAAAAATAAAAATAATTCATATTACTTCTTATAGAGACAAGAAAAAGGCTAATATATACAGTTATGTTTGATTTTTAATGCTAAACCATTGGCGCTCACAAGGGGGGGGGGGCTTGAGTACGGAGCCCCCCCAGACCTCGATTTTTCTCCCTATTGCTTATAATCCTATGTATGTAGTACGTAAAATTTAATTAAGTACTCATTAATAATTAATTTTATTAATTAATGCTAGTTATTTATTCAGTAATTAGTATAAATCCTTAATTAATATTTTTTTTACTGTTTTTGTTCTCGAAAATCGATTAAATCACCCCCCACCACCTTGAAAAATCCTGTGTGCGCTTCTGTACTAAACCATTCATGTATCCGACTCCTTGCAACAACTTTTTTTTAAAAAATGGAGAGTTTTTTTTTGTGGCTTTTAGATCTATTTAGTACATTTTAAGAAAAATATTATAAATTTAAGAGAAAAATACATTATTATTACTAAAATTGAAATAAATGTGTAAAATTTTACAAAAAACAACACAAATGGGGCCCATTCTGTACCAAAAGTTTATGAATAAATTAAAATTTTTAAATTTTAATGTGTTGCTATGTTATTTATTTTTGGAATGACCAACAGGATAAGAGATATTTTAATTTCTACAAAAACTAGAACACTTTATCTTAGTTATTATAGGAAATTGCTTAAAAAGACAGTGATTCTATTAACATAAGGGACTGTAAATTTTGTAATAAAACTGTGATTGATAAATCTGAAGGTTAAAACACTTCCACTATTATACAGAAAATACACAAAAAATTTCACTTATACATTTTCAAAACTTTTTTAGCAATCACTGTCCTCGTTTGAGCATTAAAAAAAAACACATTTCGAGTAAAACTCGTTTTAAAGTATGACATATCTTGTTTAAAGTAATGGCATCTGCTTTTACTAAAACACTTCTAGTTTTTATTCTATTGAGTAGAAAATAATAAACTTGGTATTTTTATAAAGCAAATAAGATGGTCTATAAAACAAAATCATAAAAAAATTGTCAATTTTTGAAAACTTCACAATTTTAGGGTAGTTTTAAAAATTAGATCTTTTAATCACCATAATAAAGAAGTATGATACAATATTAGGCAGCACATGTAAAAATTAAATGAGATTCAAGTACTGTTTCTGGAATATTAAAAAAATTCACTTTTCCATTTAAAAACTGATACTTTGAATAAAATTTGTGTTTTAAAGTTTACTTTTTTAGGGGGAAACATAAAAAAAGAAAGAAACAAGCCTTCCAGTAGTCGCATATGATGTGTAACATCTGACATGTTATCGTGGTAAATTCGCAATAGCAACTTAAATCCTGAAAAAAATGAATCGAGTATGATTGGAAATAATTTTCTATGGAATAATTATATCTTTAATGTGAACATTTTATTTATTTAACACAAGGAGTAATGCAAGTTTTTATCAAAAATAATTATTCTTATTCAACTTGGGGAAGAGTTGTAATAATAACTTATGATAACTAAAATATGACTCATATACTTGTGATTTCAAAGTATTTACAAACCGTTGAAAAATAGCGTCAATAACAGTACCACTATTAGTTGTCCAAACATTTCGATTTGTGTTCATTTCGATCTTGAGTTCATCATTCAAAAAAGCTATGAGTGGCTCGGCTTCTAGCAAACTGAACTTTAAAATCAAAACTCAAAATCATGGAAAGCGAGTGATAGTTTTTTAAAAGAGCAGAACCACCTTCAGTATATGGTAAAAGTAAAAAATGCAGGAAATCTTTAATTTTTTTAACCGTTTGATTCGGAAA